CACAGGCATTCATCTTTTCCTGTGCTTCCTGTTTAAATATATAATTGTCCCATGTGTAATGATTTAATACCTCAATTCATGATAATGGTCTTCTCTACAGAGAATAAAGGATTGGGGAGGGACATCTAAGGGGCTTCAATAACACTGTCTAATTTTTAGATTGACTGGTGGAAACACAGAAGTTTATAATATTATTATTAATATTTACACCTTTTATGTATCAGGTATTTACTACTAATTTAGTGTACAGAAATAAATGTCTCATTTAATTCTGGGTATCCCCATCTCCCTATGGCTATAAAGAGTGTGAGATTCTTTTTTTTTTTTAAGGGGATTTTGTGCTCCTTGTCCTCTCTCCTTTCTTTTTCTAAAAATATATTTTATTGATTTTTTACAGAGAGGAAGGGAGAGGGATAGAGAGTTAGAAACATCGATGAGAGAGAAACATTGATCAGCTGCCTCCTGCACATCTCCTACTGGGGATGTGCCCGCAACCCAGGTACATGCCCTTGACCAGAATCGAACCTGGGACCTTTCAGTCTGCAGGCCGACGCTCTATCCACTGAGCCAAACCGGTTTCGGCAGAGTGTGAGATTCTATCAGGACCTATGAGCCCACAGATTCCTTTCTACATTAGAGCAAGCCATTATCCTATATAATAAAAGGCTAATATGCAAATTGTCCCTACGGGTGGGAGTTCAACCAACCGGGAGTTAGACATGTGCTGACCAACAGGGGGCAACACAGAAAATGGCAGGCATCAGCAACGTGGTGCTGGCAGTGGGTGACAGTGGAAGTGCTACCAGCCCAATGGGTCCTGACAAAAGCAGGATTGTGGCAGGATCGGGGAGCAGGTGAGCAGACAGTGCCAGGCCAAGGTGGGTGCAAAGGGAGGCCCCAGCTGGCAGGTGGCAGCCACTAGGGACCCTACCCATGCACGAATTTTGTGCACTGGGCCTCTAGTCTATAATAAAAGTGTAATATGCTAATTAGACTAGAAGACCTTCCAGACGAAGCCAGGACTGCGAGGGAAGCTGGTGCCGGCAGCCAGGGGAAGGAAGGCCTACTCTTGCATGAATTTCATGCATTAGGTCTCTAGTTTTATATGAGATAACGTGTGGAGACACTTGGGTCTGAGGATGTGTATCTCATACTGTAGTCTATGACAGTTACCTTGGTTAGAACACCCCAGGTTAGAATAAAGTGGAGGACTCAGTTGGATTCGAGGGTGGGTTTTAGGTACCTCTGTTCCTTGGTCACAAAAGGCTGCTCCACCCAGGGCAGTGTAGGCCAGTTTATGACTCTGTCCCCACCTTGGAGAGCATATGAGCTTCACCAAGCTAAATTTCATGTAAAACATAGGTTTTTACTGCTCGTGCCAGGAGAGACTTTAACCAAGCCAAGCTTCCTCATTTTACAGCTGAAGAAATGAGGCCCTTACAGCATAAGCAACTTATCCAAAGTCATACTGCTAGTAAGAAGTAAAGCTGGGACTCAAACTCAGGTCTCTGGAGTACTAAGACAGTGCTTTTTAGAGCATACTTGACATTCATTGAATTTCCTGGCGTCCAACTTTAGGTCAGCTGGGCCCTTAGTTCATCATTCGGGTCATGATTCCATGCCCTGGGGAATCCTATCTCGGTAATCTGCATTCCTTCCCAGCTTTAATTTAGTTCTCTTCTCTACGGA